AAATATGTAAATGAAAATATAGCTTGGAAGTTCAGTTTAGAATCTTTAAATAAATGAAACATTTCTATTGAAACTAGTAGCCTATGATACTGGTCATAATTATTCAGATTATCCTGAATGAATGCTATTAATGCATTATAAAATTTTAGAAGGTTAGTCTGTGGCTTTTTTTGCAAGAACATAAATATAAGGGGTTGGAAGAAAGAAAAGTGATGAGAGTTAGAGGTAAATTGCTATGCTAAGGAAATTGGACTTTATCATTTGCCCACAGAGGAGTCTTTCTGGAGAATATTAAGAGAAAGACTAGATAAGATTGCCTCTTAGCAAGATTTCCTTGGCTGCAGTGTGAAGAATGGTTTGGGAGTAAAACTTTGAAGTAGGGAGACAAATTTAGGAAGCTGAGCTGAGCTAGAAACCAGGTGAGTAGCCTGGAATAGGATGGTGACAGTGGAGAGAGAGAATAGAGATAGAGGTAGAGATAGAGATAGATAGATGATAGATGATAGATAGAGATAGACACTGAGGAAGGAGAGAGAGAAATGAGAGAGAGGGAGATGGAGAGACTGAGCTTTGAGAAGTAAAGAAATAAAAGGGATAGGATTTAGAGACTGTTTGGCTGTGGGGTAGGAAAGGGTGAAAGACAAAGTAGGCAAATTAAAGAAAACAATACCCAAAGTTCCACGTGGGGCACTTGTAAGACTACTGATATAAGGATATGGAAACAGGAGCTTACTGTAAATAGAGATCCATTAGTAGTTCTCAGAAATATATTGGAAAGAACAAGCAAAAAATAACTTTTACGAAGTTCAGAAATCTGAATTTGAATTAAACTTACAATTTATTAGCACCGATGGCATATCTCCTTTCAGCCTTAACATTGCCTCCCAGAACACACAAAGTTCCTACTGGCTTCCCACTCATGGCTACAGCCCTCCTGAAGCCCTCACTAAGGTGCAGAGCAGGTAGGACCATTGCAGCCCCCGAGGTTTGCATTTGCACCACTGTTAGGGCATCTTATTCGGAGTCCCAAATCATACATACTGTTGGCACTAGAGTTTTCAAACTTGTTTCATAAACAAGTAAATCCAGCAACAAAAGCAAAACAACTCTTAGCAGCAAAGCTGTTGGATCAATGACATTTTAAATCGTCTTTACCCCTTCTGATAGAGATGACTTCAGCTTACTGCTATCTGAAAGCAGGAATAAATATTTATAAGGAATTTTATTGAGGTGTTCAAAACCTCCACTGCTCCAATAGACTAGTTTCAGGCTAGAGTAAAATGGGCTGAGTAAAAAGTAAACAAAAATAAACTTCAGACTGTATCACTTGTCCACTTACTCTGTTCTAAAATAGATATACAAGTACCATTTTCAATTTCTACTCCTGAGTGGAACTCCCACATTGCTAAATATGAAGCTACCTCACAAGTGATTAGGAAAATGTTCTTAATCCATCAGGGGCAAGACAAGGAGATGGTCTGGTGTAGTTCCCACGAGCCCAGGAATGTAAAGCCAGGGCACTTTTTTCATTCTTTATGCTGTAGCTTGTTTCTTATCAGACTTTTAGTTAAGAAGACAAGTGTTTCCATTAGCAGAGAGGTTTCTTTTTTTTAAACTTAAAATCTGTTTTAACATTTCACAGCCGCCCACACTATTCTGTAGAGCATCACTATAACAGGAACGGTGAAAAGGAGAATTATCCATTGTCCAATGCTATGGCGCTGTCTGCTTAGCAGTAAGAGAAACGGGGCATTTCTGAAGGAATGAAAAAAAGTTCAAAGTGCTACTTCCGCCAAAGAGTACAATTACATGTGCATTTCCTTTAGGGAAAACAGAATGAGGAACTTGCCTGTTAGCCCAGTTGACAGGTCCAAATGTTCATTTTATAGTTGAATTTTTTTCTTCTTGAATAAAAGAACTCTGGCTTCTGATCACAGCCTCCTCCCCCTTTTTTCCCATGCCATCTTTATTACTCAAATAACTTCCCTTTGACCATTTCTACTTTGGGCAAATAAACGGAATTATTTGAAAATCTATTGTATATGATAATAAACCATACTTCCTCTCAGAAGCTATGAATTCTGAGTGTCCCAGGAAAAAAGATGTAGTGTAGGAAAAAACTGTTTCAGCATTGAGTTTATTTTCACAAACAACTCCTTTCCAGTTCTCTCCTGACCAACGGGACTCTTTTTGAAGATGGAGGCTCTTGGCAAGATTATCATCAGTCTTCTCAAAATAGGAGTTCTCAAAATGTACCATGTCTCTCATCTCCCACGGCGCTGTCAAAGCTCCCAAGCATTTGGCCCCTACCGAGCACCCTCCCCCACCTGCACTGAAGTCACACTCCCCTCCAACCCCTTCCTAGGGGTCTCAGGACCTAGATCTTTTACATTTGTAGACAGATACTCTTAATTTTGAACTGTGAAATATGTTCCCCTAGATATTTTTCTACTAAGGAAAACTGGCCCTTTAAGTGTAGCACACACATAAATTTCACTCAACATCCACCACTCCCACAGCGCGCACGNCTCCAACCCCTTCCTAGGGGTCTCAGGACCTAGATCTTTTACATTTGTAGACAGATACTCTTAATTTTGAACTGTGAAATATGTTCCCCTAGATATTTTTCTACTAAGGAAAACTGGCCCTTTAAGTGTAGCACACACATAAATTTCACTCAACATCCACCACTCCCACAGCGTGCTCGCGCGCGCGCGCGCGCGCACACACGCACGCACACACACACACACACACTATGCAGAACCTAATAATTGGTTCTCATCCCTAATAAAATTTGTATTGTAAAGTTTATTCTAAACAATTAATGAATTTGTTTTACAGGACATTTTCACCTAATATTTTGCAATAAACACATTAGCAGCACAGTTCTAGGATCAGTTCTATCTATTGTTTTCATATGACATTTAGTTGAGTTTAATAAGTTTATTAAGAAATTTACACTTTCTCCTTCCATCTCCTGGTCTCACCTCAGTTTTTCCATTCTTTTCTGTCTTTACCCATATCCTCTACCTGATTTTTAAGAGTTAATCATTTTTCCAACTAAATAAAATATGTAGGCTTCTAATTCCTCTAGCATTTCTTTGAACAGTAAACAAATTCAAAATTCAACGATTGGTAATATTAGACAAGTAATAAAAACAGACATTAGACTAGATATATAACTTTAAATCTGAAGATAAATTATTGACATATATGTAGGTCAGTGTATATGTGTGTGTGTGTGTGACCCAAAATTATAAAATTAAAAAAGATTTAAACAAAAAATTTAAGTCCTACAATACAACTTTTAAAAAGGCTTTTGTATTTTTTGTTTACACGATGACTGAAATTTTTTTCCATTCTTTCAGAAGACATTTATTAAAACATTAAATTACACACAAAACAGAAAATAGATAAATTTTTAATGTATTGTTACCTTCATTTCCTTTAGAATACATTCATGGCACTTGAACCTCTACTATTTCTTGGCTATTCCTTCTACTTACATGGAGCTATTCACCTCTCAGAGGTTAGCAATTTAAGAATAATTATTAAAACAATAATTTACTTAGCTTCTGATTTTCCCTGAGTACAGGATTAAATATCAAAAATTAAATTTATAACTACATTTTTTTGATAATTTGTATTTTACTTTGCTACTCTAACATTATGGAAACCTGAAATTTTTGATATAATCTTGGAATCTGTAAGTATTAAAAGTACATTTGAAGTAAAAGTGAACCATAGGTCATTATTCTTTGTAATAATCATGGCACATCCTTTTCTATATACCTATGTAGTTCAAATTTTACTATGAATCTAAAATGTACTGTGTAAGTCTCAATTTTATTTAAAGTCCTGCTACCAATAAGCCTTCATCAGTTACTAAGAAAACCACTGCTTATCAGTAAATTAAAGTTTTATCTAATAAAATTATTTAAGTTAAATAAATTTTAGTATTAAAATTTTCATTAACAATATTTGGTAAATTAAATTTATTGTTATCATGTTATTTTGATTTATCCTACATATACTTTAAGTAATAGTTTCTATTTCCTGTTAGAGGGAGAATCCTGCACTGGGTTACACTGTATAGATTTGTAATTAAGTTACTTAATTGTAATTATAATTAATTGTATTAAAAATTGTAAAGTGTAACTGAGTAATATTTATCATAAATTAATTAAATTCACCTTTAATGAATTAATTAAATTCACCTTTCAGGATTCCTTTTACCTTATCTATAAAAGAAGGGCAATGAACTATATATATTATCCTTACAGTCTCTTCTAGTTCTAACATACTATAGTATACAGCCAAATTATATAAATTTACATATTTAAACATTACCTTTTAAAACAATTTCAAAAGAGCCTTGTAAAATATGATAGTTCTATATTGCAAAATTGTGAATTACTATAATTCCTCTAAAATCTTACCGATTCATTTCTAAGATATAGTTATTTTATAAAAGCTTCTTAGAATGTGATTATTGAAGGCCAAAACCAAAATATTGTATTTGAGTTTAATAAATGTTATTACTAATGATTATATAACTTTTTTGTTAATACAGATACAACCCTTATCAGAAAATGGAATAATGCCAGTGTTTTTGAAAATATATGTAAATACATCTGGGATTTATATAACATATGACCTTTGAGGAGAGAATTTCTTTCAAATATGTTTAATTTCAGTGAAAAAGCAGAGAATCCTGATTTGTCTTAAGACTTTGAATAGAACTAACAGATAAATAGATTTATTTTAGGTTTAAGGAGGAGGTCCCAAACACAATAGTATGCTCTCACTTATCCTGATCACCAGTAGAGTCGTCAAAATAAAAAATTCTTAACACTGATGAAGTAGACTAATAGTAACACTGTAACTACACCACTGCTAGAACAATGGAACCAGGAGAAAAAGGTGAATTACAATGGGAAGATGAGAAAAAAACTACTGACAACTGAAAGAAACTTTATGGAACTGAAAAGACTAAAAAATCAAGTTCAAAATTTATTAAAATTATTTTGTCTCATTTCTCAAAAACGATATGACATAAAGCCAGTGTTTTTATTAAATATGTAAATCCATCTGAGATTTAATATCTGACCTTTGAGAATTCCTTTCAGATATGTTTAATTTCAGTGAAGGGTCTTCAGTGTCTGGTCTAATGCTTATAAGAAGTGCTGGAATTTAGGTTTACCTACAGTTTTTAGAACATACTTCTTTACAACATGGTTTCTCTCTTATTAGAAATACGGTTTTGTGAGATAAAATTGTGGAGCACAACCAAAAAATGTTTACAGAAGGCTGATCCAGAGTTAACAAAATCTGAGGCAATGTTGTAATTTATAAAGATAAGAATTCTGTGGTTAAGATGAAAAGTACACTTTGAAAAAATTTCTAAAATCTAATATGATATTTTGTGTTGTGACATTCTAAAGAGCACTGAACACTTCCAATCTCACATGAGGAATAAGTGATATCTGAAATCAGTTAGTACTCAGTAAAAGTCTAGTTATTTGATTTAGAGATTGGGGTTCATTCCAACCCAGTGTTTGATTAATTGATGTGCAATAGCTCGGCTTGGTGGCACGAAGAATGCCTGCTGCTTCCCCTTGGTCAGAACATCCACAACCTAAAACATACCATAATAAAATGCATTAGGTTTCAACGCTGTCATACTTAATACCATTTCTATGCTTATATGATTCGACTAAAATGTGATGACTTTTACAGTGAATAGCAATAGTAGAAATTGATAATATCCATATTCAACATGCAAAATTTAGTACAGTATCTTTAGTTGCTTCAATGAGTTAGTGATTCAATTTTTAAAATATTCGAGAAAGGCATACTTTCTTATGAAGATAAGGTCATGAAAAAGCAAAGTATATGCTCCACACTTATTTTCAAAGTAAAGTCAACTTTTGGGACAGGTTCCATTTTATAAAATTCTGAAAAAAAATCTAATTTCTGCTTTTGGAGGTTGAGCATAAAATAAAATTAATTATATTTAGACATAGAAGGATTTCAGTCTTCAGTACTGTAGTATAATCATTTGTTTTCTGTACAAATATTCTGTCATGCAAAACACAGACAAGTAATTCGTCTCTCATTATAACACTTAGTCATGTTTTAAAAAGCTCCTGTGAGTGTATCTTTGTTATACAGTTTTGTCATTCTTATCTTTAAGTATATTTTAAACTGAACAAGAACTTTTCACAAATTTTAAGCTTATTTAGTGATATTTTTGAGAGGTAACTGTTTTAAAGCAATACATTAAAATATAAAATCTCTGAAAATAATATTCCTGTTTCTCATCTCTGAAATAATGGTTACCTATTTTAAGTCCATTGAAAGGTATTAATCCAAAGGAATGGCATTTGAAATTAGGAAATGGCACAAAATCAGCATTACTAGAAGAATCTCAGAGAAGGAGTTAACACAGGACATATCAATTACATTGTAATCCATGCATGATGAGAGGGCCATGGCCATTCATTCAACTTGTTGAAAACAAGTATCCTTGCTGCATGCCTAAACCGATATAGTCGGAGAGCAATCAATAGAAGAAGGAAATTAAGTTGAACTTTACCTGTTCTCTAGTGAACCAGCGGGCATCCTCTATTTCATTCTTGTCAACTTTAATTTCTGTAGACACCGCCACAGCTAAGCAACCAATCATTAAGGAGGAGGGCATTGGCCATGGTTGACAAGAGACATACTGAACATGGCCAACTTTGACTCCACTTTCCTCTTCTACTTCTCTCCGAACAGCATCTTCTATTGTCTCCCCTAATCACATGGGGCAAAAGAACAAACAGCTGACGAACACACTCTGGACATACTGTGCTTTGAATGGTTCAAACATTTGGAAATCACTTTGGACAAAAACCCAATTCAAAGCATCAGAAAGCAGAAGTCTAAAACTAGATTGGAATCCAAGAAAACTTTATTTCTTAAAGTTTATGACCACATACAGAATCCAAATACTAACAAATTTTTCATTTCTTAAAGGTCCAAATTTTCAGTTACATTTAAAAAATTACATCTACAACTATCTAGTACCTACTATTGGTTAAACACTATGTAAACACTTTATCTAGTATTTCACTTATATATTATCACTAAATAGTTATAAATTATAACTATTTTTTAATGGCTAGTCTTTTCCTCACTAAAATCTCCAAACTCTTTTTTTCTTATGTTGTCAATTATTGCAGACAACTCTTTTCAAAATAGTTAGAAAGCACTAACGCTAAAAGTTTAAAAACCACATTAAATAAAACTCAGAATTTCTTTCCAAATGATTATTTTCCTCTAGATCAATGATTTTCAACCAGTGTGCCACAAATACATATATATATTTGTGTATATATATATTTTTAAATATATCTTTATTGATTTGAGAGAGAGGAAGGAAGAGGGAGAGAGAGATAGAAACATCAATGAGACACTCATTGATCGGCTGCCTCCTGCACGCCCCACACTGGGGATCGAGCCCACAACCCACACATGTGTCCTGATGGGGAATAGAACAGCAATCTCCTGGATCATAGGTAGATGCTCAACCTCTGGACTATGCCTGGCTGGGCCACAAATATTTTTTAAACATGCAAAATCTGACTGTTTAGTCAGAGGCACTGACCTCTTTCCCTTTAGAGTGTCAAGTAAAACATGTTAACAGCCAACACAACAACAGACGTCCTATGTGAATGCCCTGTCTTGAACAATAAATAAATAGGTATATAACAGAGCTGCATCTTATTGGTTATGTTGCATAGTAAGGTTGCATCTGATTTGTTAATTCTTGGTACCAGAAATGGTCATATACAAAGATAGGCACCTGCTTTTTAAAAAAGTCACTTTGGAGCCAAAAGGGTAGGTAATTACTATTATTTTTTTGAAATCAATCAAAATTATACATATTTTATTTGTCAGATCGGCAAAAATACATTTTTTGGTGTGCCACAGAATTTTAGTAATTAGTTTATGTGTGCCATGAGATGAAAAAGGTTGAAAATCGCTGCTCTAGATGACTGTTGACTCAACTTTGATAAAATAAAATGCCTATAAATGTATACTTTATATTTTGATTTGTTGGGATTGAGAATTAGGATAGAGGGAATAGATTCTAAGTTACATTTATCTGGAAGTTTAGAAATACTGTGCTATTTAAATAGAGCTTTCTTTTTCAAATAGACTGATCCATTTCCTATATTGAAATCAACAACTTATGTTCACAAAAAACAGTGAAAAGATAAACATAGACTAGCTTAAGATATTTGCAAGACTAAAGATTAGCATACAATACATATTTAAAAACTCATAAAATCAGTAAGAAAAAAGGATAAACCACCAAAAAAATAGGCAAAGGACATAAACATTGTAAACCTCAGGGATAAAGAAAACTGGATGTCTCTTACACATCTGGAAAAGATACTCCATTAGCAGGGAAATAGAAATGAAAACTACAGTGACATACTGTTTCATACCCATCAGAGTGACAGATTAAAAAGTCTGAAAATTCTAACTTGGTGAGGATGTGGAATAACAGAACATTTCATGTAGTGCAAGAAGGAATGTAAATTGGCAGGGACACTTTAGAGAGCAACTTGGCAATATCTCGAAAGGTTAAGATGCTCATATTCTATGACCTAGCAATGTTACTACCAGATATATACCCTAGATAACTCTTGCAAATGTGTACAAGGATGGGTATAAAACTATTCATTGCAGTGTTGCTTGTAATATAGCAAGAGCTTTGAAATAAGTTAAATGTCCAACAGTAGAGCAGATAAATTGCAGGATATTCATAAATGGAACACTACAAGGCATTAAAAAAAAAAATAACCTAGAGCTACTAGAGGCAGCATAGTGATAAAGAGCATGGACTCAGTGCCAAACTGCCCAGGTGTGCATCCCTGCCCTATCATTTACTAGCTGCTTGATTTGGGGCAAGTTATTCAGCCCCTGTGCCTTAGTGCCCAATCTGTAAAACTGCTGAGGATCACATGATTTAATATATGGAAAGCCTTCGGAACAGAGTGTGTGGTTCTACATGTGTTTACTACTATTATTATCTAGTAATGCAGATTAATATTGGAAGTTGAGATTAAAAATGTATTGAGATATATTCATTCATTTATTCCACAAATATTTATTGAACTCCTACTAAATAAAAGGCACTGCTTTAAGGGTTTGGGATAAACTGATGAGTAAAACGAAGTCTCTGCCCTTACGGAACGTACTTTCTGGTATGAGCAGATAAATAGAGAGACAGATAGGTAGATAGATAGATACACACATAGATACTGTGTTAGGTGGTGATGAGTGCTATAGCAAAAAACTGGCAAGGTAATAGGGATTGTGCTAATGTCTTTGGGGCTTTCAGGGAAGGACCATTTGAAACGGTAACAGCTGAGTCTAGCACAGAAGAAAGTGAGGTGTAAATCATACTGATACAAGGGTAACAGTAATATATGAAAGATATATGAAAGAGCAAATATTAAATTTTTAAAACATACAAAATTATTCCATTAGTAAAAAAAAATCATTTAAGATACACAGAAAGTATTTAAAATATCCATTTTATAACATGATAATTTATCAAAGATAACTTCTCAAACACTGTCTAAAATTATTTGGAAATTATAAGTTAAATAAAAATTATTACAAAAGTTACTTTAAAAAGGCTTACCAGGTTCAATAAATCCAGCAAGGCAAGTAAACATGCCTGGGGGAAATCTTTTCTGCCTTCCTAAAAGACATTTGGTTCCATCCGGATGAATAACTTGCATGATTACTACTGGATCTATTTAAAAAAATCAGATATATGAATGACAGGAAAAAATAATTTGGACTCATTGTGTATGTATAGTCACTGTCTAGTAGGATAGTTAAAAGGTGCATCTACTGTAAGAATAGGACTCTTATCTAGTTACTAGAGATTGCTTCTTTCTGCCCAGTGACGGTGTTTCAGGGAAGTTGTACAGAACTCTGTCAGTAAGCTAAAAGATCATTTTCATCTCATCTTAGCAGCAACATTTATTGTGTACTTACGGTATGTTAGGCATATTCATATTTTTTTATAAGAAAGAAGTGTGAGTAGATAATACATGGCATGATGAAATTTCAAATTTTACCATAGTAAATGTAGTGGATTTCCCTCTCCCTTCCATCCCAATCCTTAAGAAAATGTTTTTAAAAGCTAAGGTGGCTCTATCACTAAGTTTAAGCCATTAAAAAATACATATACATTTAAATTAAATAACAGTTCATGTCTCCGGAAGTCACTAATCTAGTATATTATCCTCTTTATATCATGACTGAGATCCAGGATCCAGATGTAAAAGGCTCTCAAACAGTAAAAACAGATGTCACTAAGGCCATGTACTTTATTTACTCCCATGAGACCTCCTTAGGTGTTGTTTAGTTTGTCCATTCTTTTTTCACACAGTTATCAGATTTCCAAATCCGCAGCAGACTCAAAGCAGCAATGAGAAGCAGAGAAGGTATAGGCAGATACGAGTAGTTATGAGAAGCTAGCTCCAGGCTGTACTGCTTTGGTGATGCCTCAAACAGGCACTGAATTGTTGGGGCTCTTTTTGTGTGTCTCTGCACTAAGTGGATCCAGACTGGTGGGCTTTTGAAATCATATATCTCAACACATCGAATTCATATTGATTAACCCAGAGTTAAGAAATAGCTAATTATGTACAATGCCCTTTACTTAAGTCATGAAAGTACGTAATAACTTAATACTTATAGTCTTAATGGTAAAATTAAACATGCTTTTAATAAAAAGGTCAACCCCTCAGCAACTGAAAATCTTGTTTTTGCAGAATGTCTTATTCCCCAAGATTCCAGATAGCTGAGATTTCACTGTAAAAGAAAAGGCTTACCAACTCTTGGATATGATGTATTGTGAACGCCATGGAGGCTAGGACAGTCTTCTTTTAAGCATACTCTTTTATAGCCACCTTCTTCAATCTTAGTTGCACTTCCACAGGTGGGGCAGAACTTATATCGACTGTGCCAGGCAAGAACAGATCTTGCTTGAGCTACAACCCCTTTAAGAGAAACACAAAAAGTTTTTATTCTGTGACAAATTGTAAACAAATTACTATATAAGTAAAATATTCTTAAGTCATAATAAAGACATATATTGTATAAATGTTCTGAAGTCATAATAAAGACATATACTTCTGAATAGCTGTGTGATCAAGGGTTTAGTATTCCTATTTTTATGATGTATACATTTCTTTTAAAGTAAAAGATTTAATTCTACATATAACAAATGAAAATTAGATTTAACTTTAATTTGAACTAAGAAAATATACCTTGCATATAAGACCGATATACTAACATCCATCTTACACACTGTATTAGCTCAGGCTTTTATTCTAGGTGATTTTGAAATTTTGGGTATACAAGATTCTGGTGTATAGTGACTTTACAAATAGTGACTTTATAATGGAGACTTTTATAAAAATACATTTCAAAGGCAGTTCCTAACTTGGACTTGAATTATAAAAGGCAATATTACTAGGAGATTGTTGGAACCCATCTCTACCTTGGTGACTAAACCACTACTGGTCCATGTCACTGTGGAACATATCCTATTTATGACTGGAAACTGCACAGAGTATTACAAAAAAGACTGTTATTTACAACATTCATGTCTCTGGAAGGGCCTTCCACATCACCTAAGGGAAGGTGAACACTGACAGATGACCCTGTCCTCACCTCCCATTAGCTCCTCAATCTATTATAATCTAGCTTCTGTTCCTTCCACTCCACTGACACTCCTCTTGTCAAACTTACCAACACCTTCATACTACCAAAACCAAAGATCCTTTAAAAAAACACTTTGTCTTCATCTTATTCAAATTCTCAATAGCATTCAATACATTTGACCAGTACCTCCCAAAAATACTCCGTTCTCATGGTTTCCATGTCTCTTTATGGCTACACGTTAACATCACTTTTGATGGCTCCTCTACTTCTACCTGCCCTCTAAATTGAGAGGGATTCAGGTATGATTCTGAGATTCTTTTTCCTATTTGCTCTCAACTCTCTAAGTAATCTCAGTAGTTTCTTAGAATTTAAATACCATCTTTGTGTTGATGACTCCCATATGGGTATCTCCAGTTTAGACCTATCCTCTCCTCTCTCCAGATTCTAATAACCTCTAAAACTTAGCAGCTCAAAACTAATGATCTTGATTTACTTACTTCAAGTCTGTCATGGTTCCCTTGCTCTACCCATCACCCTACATTATTTTATCAAAAACTAGTATTACTATCTACCAAATTACTAATGTCTCAAACCTAGCAGTCATTCCTGATCCTTCCCTTCATTATTATATACTCTATCCTCATTCCATCAACTACTCTCAATTTTCTCTCAAAAATATATCTTGAATGTACCTCCTTTATACCATCTCTACTATTATCACCTTAATTCACCTGATAGTCCAAGTTATTATCATCTCTCTCTCACGTATAATAGTTTCCACCTACTGATCAAGCCCTATCAGTTCCACCTCCAGAATGTCTCAATCTCTCTGCCCACCACTCCACCAATGCGAGCCAACACAATCTCTTACCTGGGACGTGGGCATTTCTAATCACCTCGCAAGACTCCTGACGTCCATACTTAATTACCTACAATTCATGATCTACAAAGCAGCCAAAGTGAGGGGTTTTGTTTTTTTTCTTAAACATAGGTCAGGTTATAATATTTAAATGGAATTTAGACTAAAATTCCTAGTTTCTTACCATAGCATAAAGGGCGCCACATGAACTGGCATGCTCAGCAACAGAAAACAAAACAAAACAGTAAAGTCTTTGCCATCAGGCTCGCTGTACAGCAGGCACTCAATAGCAATTCACTGAAGAGTCAAAGGAAACCATCATGCATTCGGGTTAATTCTAAGGGAATTTATCTTGGCTGATTAAGACTGCTGAAACTGCCCAAAAGAGCAGTTCCCTCGGGTGAGAACTTTACAGTTTCTAACCAAGAGACAGCTTAATTTCACTGCTTACTGGAAAAAGCAGGCCCCCTAGAAACTGTGGATACATATGAGAGTTTCAATGAGAGTTTCAAAAGCCAGATTACCACCAATACAAGTACACAGTGTCCACTTCTTACCAGCTTCATTTTCTTTCAGCTGCAGAAGGGCTGGCATTGGAGGGTGAAGAAAGTAACAACTTTCATGTCTTTGCTTAAATTCTTCTGCAGCAACAGGATCTATACCTACAGCAAACCAGGCAACCAACCCATCTTCTTCTTCTCTGGGGACTTCCCCAGCATAATTAAGTAAATCTTTTTTCATTTCAAGCTCTACTCCAAGAAAAATCAAGGTGATCTTTTCAGGCTGAGCCAAATAATCCTTTACATCTGTGTAGTTCAGCTGACAAAGCCTGACTTCTGGCTGCTGGGAGCTTTCTTTGTTGCCACCCAGAGTAACCAAGGGACTTAAATCTGAGAAAAGGATATAGACGGTGGCGGGATGGCTTTCTTTAGCTAGCAGCCAGTCAGAATTATTTCTTTTTTCGCTTTTCCGGTCCAGCAGTGTTTTGCCAAAATAATTTTCACATTCTTCTACTTCATTGGTTAGGAACCAAGGCTTCTTCCCACCTTTATCATTAGCTAGTAAGTTAGCTATATGCTTGTAACCCCAAAATTTAGCAATATCTAGTGCAGTCTGCCTTGATTTGTTGACAATGGATCTGTCACACCTATAGATAAAAGGAAAAATAAAATAGGAAATAATGTTTTCTCTAGTATTTACTATAATATTTCCAGATCATATCATAGCCCCTCTATTTAATGATTACATACATTTTTTTTCTTTTAGTACATCATTTATAAGCGGGAAGGTTAAAAAAATTATAAGTGATGAAAAGTTAGAGATAGTGGATATTTCAATTTTCTAGAGAATTATAAAATTAAAAAGCAGTATGTGCTATGAGGTATTAAAATTTTATAAGAGACTCATGGTAATCATAGTGGGTAGATTTACATTTGGGAAAAGATATTAGATTAATTCATAAATTTGCTTTGCTATTAAGCATGAAAAGTTAATTCCTCAATAAAATAAGTTATAAGCTTTTAGTTAGAAATTATGCTACATTTTTACAAAATAAAACTGGTTAATGAGTTATTTACAAGTCCAATGACATAAATATGGCTACAAGAAAATTTAAAAGATGTAACCCAGAAATTAAACCACATAATCCTTCAGGTGGTATAGCCTAAAATGTTTACCCTTTCTCAAGTAGAAATTGGACAGCATCTGGGTGCCCATTCCTTGCAGCATACATTAAAGCAGTCCAGCCATTTTCAGAAGTTTCATTGAGAAGAGATGGAGAATGACTGAGTATTACTGTTAATCTGGCAATGTCTCCTTCTGCAGCTGAATAGTGAAATTGGGAAACTATTTCTTGCTTTGGACTTCTTTTTATAGAAGACATTTCTTCCTTAAAAAATAAGGAAAATAGAAAAAACTCATTTGCAATTGCTCTTTACATCAATGAGTGCTGATATAATTAGAATAACAGTTATGGTTTCTAAAACAATATACTCTTCAAAACGTAATTAGCAGTCAACTGTCATCACAGCAAACATTTAAAAATTGTCATCAGTTGAGAATTTTAAATATAATTCAACATAAGGGTTATAAAAAATAACATACAGATCTTTGATAATACAAATGAGGGGCCATATCCTTGAGAGAGGGAGTCAGGTAACAGCTCCACAAAGAGAAGCAGGTATTTGAAGTAGACCAGAGGTACTTCAATGGAGGAGGGTTAAAAAGTAGATAGAAAGGCAGATTTTAGCAGATGACAAGAAGTATTCCCTTAGATTCTCAGGTACCAGAAACAGGTCCCTGCCCTCAAGGGAAATTGTGATCCTATAACAAATTATTCAAAAGCTAAGTTTCTCACGAAAACCACTTACTGCTTTTTCTTGCACAATTCTGCAATCCATCAGGAACTGATTTTTGTTCATGGTGTGAGGTAGGGGTCAAGATACATTTTTATCTCATTGGGTAATCCATATGACTTGGCATCATTCTTGAAATTACTATCTTGTCCCTTTGCACTGCAGTATTATCTTTGTCATAAATCAGATGAGCATACATATTTTTTATCTATTATTGGATACTGTTCTAATGGTCACTTTGTCTACGCTTGAATCACAGAAACTTTTTAAACCCTTAACTTTGTCTGCTTTGTCACTCGTTTCAGTAAGAAAAAATATATAGAAAATAACTGTTTCATACCTCTTAATAAATGTTCCTAAGCATGAATTAAATGTGGTAGGGCACAAACTGAGCTATTTTTGGTGGAAATGGTTCATGTTTCAGTTGTCTATAAACTCCTGAAAGTACTTTTTTTTTAAGGTATGAATGTTTTTCTATGAAATGCTGTTAAGAAAAGATTTGGGCTTCTAATTAGGCTTCCACTATTCTAAGCAATAAGAAATTTAGGCTAAAAAGAAGGATGAATTTTCTAGGGTTGTTTCTAGGGTTCTGACACTACAATTTGGCAGATCAATTTTATAGTAGGAGTAGGGGAAAAATGGGCGAGAGATTAACTTTATTTTGTGGTTCGTTCACCTGTCCTGTTTGTATCATTCTACTACTTATAAACAAGGTGAAAACTATAAATAGGTAAAATATGCCCACAGGAATGTAAACATTTGGATAAAACCTAATAATGAAAATCTGTTTATAACTTAAATTAGTAGGAGTGACTTTTATATTAGAAAACAATTTTTTAGTTTCTTTTGATTTACTCTAGCATTTACCTGACCATTCTCTTCATACTGAGATTTCTAAATGCTTTAAAAGTATTATGAATAACAAAAGACAACTTTTCAGGGCTTTGTTTTGAAGCACTGCTATACATTGACTCCTGTAGTCTCCCATCTAAGTTGCCTTTCCCTTAAATTTATTTTCTATAAAATCTCATCATACAGATCCTTTAGTTAGGTTTACTTTACGCAATATTTCACTGCCCACGTTCTGAAGTCATGATCACTTCCTCACCCTCCCCACAGGCCATTCCAGGGACTGCAAAACTGCCCTCTGAAAGTACAGTGCCCATCAGTAGCCCCAGTGTGATACTTATGATAATGCAGTATTTTCAGGATCAAGTGGGAAATGTACACTGCCCCCCACCCCACCCCTTAGCTTTCTCAGCATAAAAGCCATCTAGAAACAGAACCATTACTGATTCCAGAGCAGCACACAAACTCTGAAATCCAGCTCTGGCTACATTTACTTTTTCATGTCTCATTGACAAGTCCTCCAGAGGGTAAGGATTTGAAGGCAGAATGAGGTGATTCAGTTACCTACACGCTGCCCTTGCTTTCCAGGAGGCGCACGGACTATTCCGAGAGGTCGTTTAAAAGAATCTCGGGTTTAAAGGCCTCTTAATTCAAGCCGGTATTGCGCTATTCAAAAGCTTGGCTGCTTCTCCTTTGCCCTTGCTCCCATGTTGTGGTTACCTAGTTCTCCAGTGTAATTCTGAAGGCTCTCCTCCTTGGGAAGCCATGAACTTAGTTTTGGCCCTTACACTCCTATTACACCACCTCAAACTCTTCTCAGCATCTAACACTCTAGGTGCCTGTTTGTGAATCAACAAACGCCTGGAGGAGAAAAGGAGCCCTGAATACTGAGCTCTCTTCTGCACCTCCCTTCGTTCTGAGACCATGCCATCTTAACTCCTTATTGTCTTGATAGTTCTCTAATGCTGTCAAACATATTTTTAAAAACATTCTATAGCTTTCTAGCCATTCTCAGGAGGTTTGATTTGACCGAAGCGGTGTGTAACTCGGGGCCCATGACTCGCCCAAGGTAACAAGGCTCAACAGAGACGCGGCCGACCTCGGCTACGCTGTCCCTCAGGGCACCGACCGCTCCTTGGCGGATTCCCCTTCTTGCCACTACTGTGAGACTCCTTCTTTTAATGTGAAATCACATCCGAGGCAGCATTTTCCTTCCCCCACTTCAAAGACCAGGCTGGAAAGGCCCCAGCAGCAGC